CTGAACGCAAGTTATCCTTGATTTTTTTTTTCCTTTGCCAGCGCCCACACTAAGACCCAGTGGCCAAAAGCTCTGCCAGAAACAATGCAAGCCAGGACAAGAAAATATTTACATACTCCTCCTGTTATTTTTTAGCGTTCGATTTCCCAGACTCCGGCCGCCGGTTCCTGTCTCATCACCACCGACTCCCATCACGACATCCTCCACTTTCAACTCTCATACTACTGTGTATGCACTAACAACTAGTGACCGAACAATATTAGATTTTATTCGCTCCAATTGCCACTACTCGGGTCACCATGATACTGCAAATTGTGTTGCATTGAGCGCTCGAATCAAACTGCCAAAAAGCGAATAATTAATCGACTCAAATAACAAAATTTTATAGAAACATACCACAAGCTTCGCAGCCGATGTTACAAAAGCGAATCACGAACTCCTGTCCAGTGTGACAAAAAGCGAAATAATGACCCTTGATGTCTTCGAACGAGAATATATAGTTTCTGAAACAGGGGGGACGGGTGAAGGGTTTGTATGATCATATTATTGTTCAAAAAGAACCCGACATTATTGAAATGCACATCCAACGGATGTTCTTCCGCAACGCGAAGTGCTCTCGGCACAATTCAATCCTTCAAGGCTCCGCGAGTCAAACGCACTAAAGAGCAACTTTTTTTTTTTTTTTTTTTTTTTTTTTTTTTTTTTTGGGGTCACACTTTCTTTCCTCCCCTATCTCTGCTCCCCCGTGCCCGTCGTGCCCCAGGCCGCTAAACCCATTGCAATGGCGTCGTGTCGATCTTCCGTTGGATAGCATACCTCCCTGGGGTGGATGGTGGATCGGACTGGCTCCCCAGCAACAACCTCTCTCTCACACTATGAAGCGCTATCGCCATTTACTTTTTGCTTTTCCTTTTTTTTTTTTTTTTTTTCTATTTTTCTTTTTCTCGGATGGTGATGGAAGTGGCGCTGCGCTGTGGCGGCCGCTTGAGGCATGGTGGGGAAATGCGGCGCTGGCACCAGGTGGAACTTTGGCCCTGTTTCATTCTTTTTCATTTTTCAAAAAGCAACTCCACGCAGCACAAATCCCTTTTTCTTTAACTAGATTGAGGAGATATCATATATATCGTCGGGTTTTATTGTGAAAGAACAGAGAGAGAGCATGGAACAAAATGCCCATACGGATGCTAGATATTTAATTAACCCTGTATATACGGAGTACATACACAGTCAATTACAGACCCCCGAGAGATTCAGGCGTTGTTCAGGGACTTGATGCGTAAAACTTAGCTATCAAATTCGGTACCAACCCCCACGCGAACCTGTGCTTGGGCGCCGGTTTTTTTTTTTTTTTTTTTTTTTTTTTTTTTTTTTGGAGCTCTGATATCGAGATTTACATTTTTATCTTTTGGACTCACCAGGCCCTGGTGTGTAACTACGACTACGACTACCCACTACATCAGGATGAAATTTGTTTCCCAGGTCATCTTTGCTCTATTGCCGGGCTCGCGGGACTGGCGATAATGGAAGTTCTAGAGAAGAAATACAAACGCTGAGCAGTGCTATGTAGGCAAAATATTTAGATGCAATAACTAGGTTATTGTAACTACGCCTGCTACCAGATCGCCGGGCGAAGGCACAAAGCGCTCAGCGCAGGTACACCTATGTACCTGCTTTTGCTTGCGAAACCTCATCATGCATGAGCTATGTATGTATCAACTTCCGCCGAGTCCTTAGGTACGCGATCGGTTTAGTTAGTTAACTATGCATTTTCCACAATAAAGCCCATGGGACGGATTTTCTGAAACGCTTAGCGGACAGACCGAAAATGGCGCCCGCGGCCGCATGGTTCATCCTTGGGCGAGGGAAAAATCAGCTCGAATGTCTCGGATTTGATGACGCCGCCCATGTAGCGAAACGCCCATCACCATTGGCAGTAAATGGCAGGGTTGATGATGACGCGCTGAGTGGAATGAAAGCTGGAGATGCGTTCTCGTCCAACTCTGTTAAACATGTTTCGGTTTGGTTGACTTGTACTGTACCTCTGCAGATTGCGGTAGATGGCACGGCGACACATGGCCGTCTTTTGGCAGCATGGACGTTGAAGGGAAAAAGAAAAGAGAGGAAAAATTGCGTACATACCTTCATTTTATCCCCTGCCGCTGCACGCAGTCTTCTCATAGGATTTCTCAAAAAAATCTGAATACGCTGCGTATATATCCCTGGCTTATTTTTAGATGCTTGTTAGTTCCTCTTAAACCCTGTTTCAAAGACAAGCCAATTCGTCATTTTTCCCCCGCCCCTTGCAGTAAAACTGATAGAGAAACACTGACATCCTCGTTACCGCAATGACTTCCGCTTCAGCTTCTTAACTGGATAGAAATTAACGTTTCTTCGGAACGCAGGGCCAAGGACTTGAACTAAAGATCGCCTGTCGGGAATGAGGCACCTTTTGCAGCAGCAGACGTTCATACATGACTTCTGGGGGGCTTTTTTTTCTTTTCCCCAAAGAGGGCACGTCAGATGTGTATGACATTCAATTATCCACCATCGCCGCTCAGAACAGGAACCAGAACAAGGCAGAACCCAATGGAAATTAACCGAATAATGGATCAAAAGAACGCAAGGACTCCAAAATCATGCCAGTCATGCGCAGGTGCACAGTCGATGGCTATAGATGGCGGGTTGCCGATTACCGGTTGATGGGCTGTGCTTCCCCGCGCCCTGTGATGTTGGAAGCCGCGCGAACTTTCCTTTCCATGATGTTCTTTTTGATGAAACACATTCCTGGGTCAAATCGAGGATGAGAGCTTTCCTATCTTCGCTCTGCTGGCTTTCAATACAGGCAGGAGACGCAGCTATGGAGGGGTTCATGAAAAGCAGAGACGGTATGGGGTTCTTGAACAGATGAGGATGATTTTTAGTCGTTACTATTTGATCTTTCTGCCTTTCCCTCTGTGTACATCCTGTCTTGTGTATAATATAGTAACTAGTCGAGAATCGAATAGCTATTAGTGAGGGGGGATGATATCAAACTAGGAGCGTCAGTATAAATCTTTCCGGATATTTGAAGAGTGGTTTATTTCAAGGCGAAGTGTTCCAACGGGACCGAATAGTGGATGTTCTTATATGGGGTTCCCTCCCATCGACTACCGGACCGAATTGAGATCCTGACGGTAATCCGCTCGGCTTTTTCCCTTTTTCACATACATATGTTACATATCTCGGACCCCTTTCCTGTATGTGAAAGTCTTTTGCTTTGTTTGAAAAGCAGAACCGAGGCTGACTTTGAAGCCATGCCCGAGCTATCCTCGTTTGACAAAATAGGGGGTCCATGGATGGTTGGAAACAGCCCTTGTCAGTGCCCTTTTGTCAGAAGATAACCTTTATTATGAGTCATTCTTTATGAAGTTTAAAGCTTTCTGGAATGTCTGCTCATATAACCGAGCATTCCTTTGCTTATAAATATTGTCTACTTTTCTCTGTAATTATCAAGTTGTAGATAGATAAGTCAGTTGAATCTAATTCATTCATTTATATTGATATTCAGTAATTGGGACAATATTCGGACGATTAACCATCGCTCCGATCTCTCCCATTTCATGGCTCACAGAATCGTTCAATCGGGCCGCTCGCTGAACTGGAGGCATGGCAATCCGACCAGCGATGAGTTATTCAGCCTCTCGCGCCCCCAGATATACCAATGTCTCACAGACTCCAGATAATGCGTCCTTGTACCCTTGGTGCCCAGGGACGTTGGGATGTTCTGCCCTGGTGTATTATTCACGGTCCACAGCACATGCGTCGTGCGGGGTCAACCATCCAGCGCTGGGCCCCCCTTTTTTTTCGGTTCCTGGCTTTATCAATGCTGGATAGTCGCACCTCATCGGTGCTTGGAAGCAACGACGAAACCCGCTTATGGTTCGCGATAGCGGGTGATCGCGGGCCATAGACTCGTTCCTCGTGTAATGTTTCTTTCTTTTATCTTTTGCCATAGCCAAAACCAACATAAAACCTTTCCTTAGCCAGCGCCCCGCTTTCAAATCGGTACCCGAGGTAAGCTTGCTGCACTTGAGTTGGGGAGACCAAACCTGTTAACCCACACAGATCCGTGACATGGAGCTCGTTTTTGCGGAGCTCGATTTTGCCCGTTACATACAACTGCCCAAGCGGGTTGATGGAAACACAAAACAGCTAGCAGTACGGAGTAACAGGTCCATAATCCCTTTTCAAGATCCTCTACTGAACATTGTACAGATTATGTAGAAGGATATCATCAATAAGCCCACTTTTTTTTTTTTTTTTTTTTTTTTTAACTAACTAACTAAACGAGTAATGTAAAAGTTTTTCCCCTCTTCTTCTTTACCCTTGCCCCTTTTGAATCTAGCACTCCATTTTCCTGCCTTCCGAATATTCTCCACCATTGTGACCTTTGATACCGAACTAAAACAAACGTTAACACACGCTGAAGATTCCTTTTACTTTCCCGGATGGCAAGTAAAGAATAAAAAAGAATGAATGAAAGAGAGAGAAAGCATCACGCATAGCAACACCTATCACATATTCTCCCACTCTCAGTCTTGCCATTTCGGGAAAGCCCGTTGTGTTTTTCGTCCGCCTTAACTACTGATCAAGGCATGAGAGTAGTGGCGTTTGAGAGCTTTGTAGATTTTGTTGGCATTAGAGAGGTTGTGAAATAATTCTAGGGGAAAAATAAACAAACCACAGTAAGAGTACAACCACAGGTTTTGATCAAACGAGAGCGGTAAAAAAAGAAAGAAGAGAGCGGAACGGCGAAACACTCAAACAACCAACAACAATCACCAATAATTTGAAGCAACAGCCCGTTAAACGACACACGCCAATTTGTATAAGGAAACAAAACTCTTTTCAAGCTAAGACGGTCGTAGATTGGGGGAACGACGCCTTGTATATCCATACACCGTGATATATGGCGGTGATATATAGGTCTTCCTCAGCCCCCAATTTAAAAACGACATGCCTTATGCCATGTAGGCGCTGGAGTCGACACCTCCCTGGGGGTATTCACTGCCAGGATTGTAAGCGTGCTGTGAGTTATAACAAAGTTTGCCTCGGGAGGACTGTTACTTACGGAAGAGCAACTTCGAATCGCTTCTCGATGTCCTTGAGAACCTCTTGGTCTTGTTCGCTGCTGACAAAAGAGATCGCGAGACCCTTGGTACCGAAGCGACCCGCCCGACCGACACGGTGAAGGTAGGAATCAGCGTCCGCAGGCAAGTCATAGTTGATGGCTAGGTTGATTCGTTCAATATCAATGCCGCGGCCAAAAACGTCGGTTGCTACGCAAATTCGCTTGTTGAATTCCTTGAATTCCTTGTATCGTTTGATACTTAACAAAGGGGCAAGATTAGTTGTCATAGCCCGAAGGATGGTGAGGGTTAATAAAACTTACCGCTCTTCCTGCGAAACTCCGGAGTGGACTGCGATACTGGGAAAGTTGCATTCACGGAGGAGCTTGTCTAACTCGCTAGCACGCTGAGTGCTCTTAACGAAGATGATAACTTGGTTAAATTCTAGGCTGTCTAACAGTTCATTCAACTTTCGATTTTTCTCCGATTCGCCAAGCTTAATGTAGTATTGGAGGAGGCCGTGAAGAGTCAGCTTCGTGTCATCATCAACATACACTTCCAAGGGATTGCGCATGAACTTCTTGCAGATCGGCCGGACTTCCTGGGAGAGAGTGGCGCTGAACATCATGACTTGTTTGTCGGCGGGAGTCGCACGGAAGATCTCCTGGACGTCGCGTCGCATATCTAAATGAATATAATCAGAATTGCTCCCTTTATGGATAAGGGGATTCCCGGATCCTAAAATACTGACCGATCTGATCCAACATCTTATCACACTCGTCGAGAACAAACGCTTTGATGTTTCGGAGAGACAGTTTCTTATCGCGAACGAGAGCATTCAATCGACCAGGGGTGCCAACAACGATGCTAGGATATGTGTCTTTCGACGACAGCAGCTCGATATCTTTTTGCATTGGAGTTCCACCATAGAAAACGGCAGTCTTAACATCTGGAAGATATTTGCTAAATCGGGCATATTCGTTCTTGATCTGATATGCCAGCTCTCTGGTGTGGCACATAACAAGTATCGAGCATTCGCCAGGAACTGGCTCCAGCTGGTGGAGAGTCGTCAGGACAAAGACAGCGGTTTTTCCAAGACCGGATTTGGCCTGGCAGAGGACATCGACATTCAGAATGGCAGTCGGGATGCAAACTTGCTGGACTGTAAAGAGGAGCGACGGAAAAAAGTTAGATTGATTCGACCCATTTTAAAGCTTTGATGGAATGTATAGCCGCATTGCGAAAACGTCCGTCCATCACATAATTCTGACAAGAATACGCAAGCATGAAGAAGACTGGCCCCAGATATGAAATGACAGCCAAGAGAGTTGTAACATAAACCCGGAGTAGAAGATGAAAGAACGAGGGTGATTGAAGATGATGGATACGCGGCTATGTAGGTCGACACGAGGATGACTATTTCTCTTTCGAAGGCGTATAGCTAAAGAGTCTCTGGCATCTAGAATTGTGGGTTCTGGTACATTTCCTTTACCGAAAATGACCGAGATTGACAGATAGTTATGCCACGCGGCAGAATATTGCCAACCGTTGATTGAATAGCCCCGCTTGCGACGAGCAGCAGTCCCGAGTGCGCTGACTGACATGAAAAACCCTTGATTACACCATAGCTAAATTCGAAGAGACATCCTCGTGCCGCCTGCAGTCCCGCAACAAGACGCGTGTGGATTCCGGCGTACATCAGAAAAACTTCGAGGAGATGGACGGACGTTGCAAGATGGAGCAAGTGGAGGGAGACTTGGGAGAAATGTGATATTTTGTTCAATGAAACTAACCCTCCGATGGATGCTCGAAACCGCAATCGGTGATCGCACGCAAAAGCTCCCCCTTCAGGAGGAAATCGCGGAAACCAGTCGAGTGAATACCAACATAGCTGCCTTTTTTATCCGCACGCGCGCCAGAGACTGTCAAGTCGCCTTCTTTTTTAGGAGCAGCGCCGTTAGCTCCAGCGGCAGCAGTGCCAGCGGCAGCATCAGTTGCCTGAAGCTCCTCATCCGAGTAATCGATGAGATCTTCCTCGTGAGACATGGTGGAAATTTGGAGTTCAAGGTAGGCTGAAGGCCGAGAGGTCAAACGCGTGGAGATCCGGTGATAAGCCCAACGTCAATGTCGCAGGAGCGGAATCAAGGTGGGGAAATACTGCAACACGAGATACAACGAGCGATGAGGGATAAAGGGATGGAAAAGACTCGGGGGAATAGAGGAGAAGGAAATGGAAATGGACGGGTGAAGTTGAAGTTGAAGCCTGTTGTCAAAGAAAGTGAAGAGCCCCAGCCGCGCTAGCCTTTTTAAGCATGATGTCACCACGTGAGGAAAAAATTGGTTATGGGATTCGATTGGTCCATTCGATAGCGCTGCTGGTAACTTTGCGCTGTGTCTGAGAAAAAAGCCTGCCAGCAATGACTCTGGGCTCTCGAGACATTACCCGAGGAATATCCAGGAGTCAGGGAGCTTAAAATGGCAAAAGTCAAGGCCCAAAAACGGCCTGGGAAAACCGGTCAGAGCCACCTTCGAGCCCGGATTGCATTCTTATACAAAGCGTCGACTTATCTTCAATCTGCGTCTCTATCGAAAACTTCTGCAGACAAGAAGCCTAATCATGCTGGGGGCCATGGAGCTCATGCCCTATTACAAGAACACGATGAAGAGCCAACTTCGCAACCACTGTGTGGTAACAAGGTTGCCAGTGATAGCAAAAACTCAACGACTGACAACGCATTCTTCTCTCCAAACCACTTGCGGGAACAACAACCGACACATCATGTTCCGGTCTCAAAGCTCTCTCGCAATTTAGCTTCCCAGATGCGCGGAGTATCTCTCAAGTCGCAACTGCGACTACCTCACGACATCAAGAGATCGATCTGCAAAGTATGCGACTCGCTGCTGATTCCCAACGCGACCTGTGTGGAAACGGTGGAGAATGCCAGCCGTGGAGGGTCGAAGAAGAAGCCATGGGCTGACGTTCGCGTGGTTAGCTGCAATAGCTGCGGCGCTATAAAACGGTTCCCACAGACTAAAAAAACAAGAAGCAAAAAGCTTGCGGAGCCCAAGAAGCGGTTGAAGGCCGGGGCAGGATGACCGGACCAAGAGGTCGAACCCGTCCGCGGCGCAGCTACCTGCTGTCGATGTTTTCCGTTGTATTTCCTCTGGATGCCTTCGTGACTCGAAAAGAACATGTCTCGATGAATGGAATATAGATAACTTACTGGACTCACTAAATTCCCGTGTCGATATGGCTAAGTTTCACTTGACTACCTGCAACATATCTGGTTGACATCCGGATCCTAGGGATAGCGGCATTATTCTTGAAGTCACAGGAGACAGCGTGCGGAGGAGCCGGGAACTTCGTTATGCAAAGGTAGGCGTTTAGGACAGCGCATCGCGAATAACCATGCAGATATCCATTGAGCCGTCCCAGCTGAAGTATTTGCTGTCCTCTACGTATACCAGCAAACGCTAATTGTTCGTGAGAGAAAAATGGGAGACATGCGGCAGGAAGAAGCGCGATGAGATAGGGGAATCTGAATCTGAGGGCTGGATACTGTGGAATTTATCCTTGCGGGAATCATTACATCGTAGCCCGCCCACGTCCTGATTTAATCATATGTCTGCGATGCACTTATACAGAGACGTGAATACGATGGATGCGAGGGTTGGTTTACGAGACAGGAACAGAGGGTAGGACAACTGAGAGAAATAGGGTATTGGTTAATCTAAATGCGTTGGCAATAACCCTGGACGTAACCCTCATGACGTTTTCTCACTGATCATCTTTTGTGCTTCTGTCTCCCGTGACGGCGATCAAGTGAATACGTAAGACCCGACAGAGGGAGAGAGGCCTCTGAGGCCCCTCCCCTTTTCTATACTTAGATTAGGAGTAATAGGCATGGAAGCCAATAATACGAAGCAGAGAATGGGAGAGAATTAGTGGGGGAGGCGTGGGGCCACACATAGGAAAATGTCCAGCGTACGAAATCGCTCTGTGCCCATATAGGCCGAAAGGAGAAAGCAAGGGAGGCGAGGAGCAATTTTAGAAAGGAAGAGTTATGATATGGGTTGTAATCGATATATTAAAAAGGCCTGAAGCACAAATAGCTGGCTTATCGGATATTGACAGAGAATCTTGAATAAAACTGGTCGCTGGTAAAGAGACAAAGATATGGACTAAGAATTCGGTACCGCTTCGAAGCTAGACATCGAATGAAACAACAAAGAAGGGGAAATAGTTCATACAGACACATATATCAGTATATAATAATAGGGAGGTAGGTAAAAGGGAAGTATGTTCTAGTCGGAGAGGGTTTTGACATTAGAATTGAGAGAGCAAGGGAGACGTTCAAACGGTCATAAAACGCCAACAGCCGCTGACGAAGCTGGATTAAGTAGGATAGAGAGAGCGGAGTAGGCGAAGAGTAAAATGGGCGAAGGGGTGGAAACCAGCATCAGATTCAAGTCCAGCACACCTTTAGTTTTTCCACCCACTAACTAAGCTTCCTCTCTTCCAGCATTCACCTAGGCAGGTAGGTATGCATAAGTAATCATCAAAATAATAATAAAAAAAAGTTTCGGCCGTGAGGCATGTAACCATTCTTCGAAGATTTTGTATCCAAGATAGAAATAGAAAGTAGAAAATAGAAAATTAGAGGAATAGGTTTATAGATCGAATCCCCCCTCCCCCTCCCAAATTCCACAAACAATATTCTGGGCGGGCGATATTCTTTACACCAATGCAGTACTCTTTAATTCCTGCACTGATGCCCGCGCATTGTAGACAACACGTAGGAAAGATTGCTGTCCGCGAGGACTAAGATCGGTGATGTATATCAGATATCTTGATTCTGTTATGGCGTTGAGCACGGACGATGGCTTCCATTCGATTTATCCGGGTAGTGGTAGCAATAGCGGTTGCGTCAGAGATCAGGACCATCCGGTAATCGGAGAGTGTATCGCGTTTTTCGTAACTGGGAAATATCGCAGCATATAAAGCGGAACGGAAAAAGCTCTGAAAGGCATTCCGTCGTAGCATCGTAAAAGTGGGCTCATTCCGTTTGACTGAGCTTTCATTACGGGATTGATTTTCGGACACCCACCCCCCCCCCCTTTTTCCTCCCCCCGCCCCCCAAAACCACGTGAAAACCAATATGAGCAGGTGGATGGAGATAAACAAGGTAAAATGTCATATCAACGTCTTCTGCGGGCGGCCTGGTCCAATCGATGGTCTAGACTCTCCACTCTAGATCTGTATTGTTTGACGATGTCCCTGATGCGCCGGATCTTATCGAATTCGGTTTCCAATTCACTAATATTCTCTAATATTTGGCGCATTCGTGCGATTTCGACATCTGCATTCGCAACAACATTGCCTGCTTGGTCATAGGTATTTTGGATTGAGATTTCGGATTGTTCAGTCAACTATTTAAGGGATGGTAATATTAGCGCTGGCTCCTCAAGATATGAATAATCTGTCAAGGAATGGGCGTGTGAACGTATTGGTATCAAAAGGTATAAAGCGACAAAGGTAGCCTAGAATTTAGATAGAATTGGAACAAACCAACCACGGGATGCACCTACATAATCTATTCTACGCCTAATATCTCTCAACAGATTCTCAAGTTGATAATAGAGCGCTTGCAAGCTATCGGGATCAAGAAGTAGTCTGCCGTGACTACTCGCAGCGCTGGCGGCACTGGTAGCTCGCGAGCTTGAATTGCTATTTCTCCCCATGCCTCTCCCCCGGGACACAAGGCTACCAGCATGGCTGCCCTGGAGGGCGATCTGTTGCTGGTGCACAGCCATCTGCATCTCGGCGGACGTGAGGCCGAACCGGGCATCAGGAATGGACGTTGACGCGGACATCTGGTATTTGGCTGGTGTGCGCGCAAAGAAGACATGCTCTTAAAACAGAAAGTCGCCAGACACACAGGACGAGGCAGCGCGGGCAGATTGGCAGTAGTTCATGTTGAAGAACAAATGCGAAAGAATGGACTTTTTGGACGGGGAATGCGGAAGATGGAAGGGGAAACGGCTCTTGTTGTATTATAGATCTTGTCGATTCTCCCAGACAGGCCTTATTCTGCACTAAGGACCAATAGTGGCATCTGGTTCAATCCGAGAGAGGTCACAACGCGGGTAGCTTTGAAGATGACGAGCAGAATGGCAGCCACGCCAGGCTTTTAGCTCGGTGGAGGCTGAAGCAGTGGCAAAGACACAGGAGGAGAGATATGACAGGGGGGGGGGGAGAGAGAGAACAGCAAGATTGGCGAAGAGAGGGGAGATAGAGAGAGATATATTGACAATAGGAATGATGAAGTAGAGGATCTGGAGGATCTGGAGGATCTGGTGAAGATGCGGCAGGTCTGAGATTGCGGAGGTTGAGCTGGTGACCTCCAGCAAGGGGAAGACACACCGCAGCCTTCACGCCGGATTCTATGAACTCCTTGTTATTTCTGCTTACTTTTTGTCATTTAATAGTTATAGTTAGTTAAAGTTGTAATTACAATATCTGTGTCTGCATATAGAACAGAAAACATGGTGGGCTCTGTCCCTGGTAAATACATATATCTATTTTTTAAACTCGCTCAGATGCGATATCGGGTCCTTCACGAGAAATAGAAATAAAAGTAAAAGTAAAAATAAGAATAAAAATAAAAATACAAGCCAAAGCGCCAAAGAAGAGTCAAAAGGTAATCCCCCATCGTCGGCCTTAAGTAGATGAAACAAAGAAGTCAAATGCCCATCTGGATTGGATGGGGTTAGAAGGAAGAAATATCTATTCCGATTTTCATCCTGCCAGAAAAATGAGGGGCGTCAGAAAACTGCTGAAGCTATGTATGTATAATCTTTCCTGTGCCCCAGATTTAATATCCATGAATGAATCAATCCCCTCTCCGGCGCCGCCGTTATCAGCCTGTCAATTGGCAGCCAGCCATATCCTACACTACCAAGTTTGTTCGGCATCACTGATCAGGCAAGGCTCGCATCTCCTGCGCATCCTCGTCCGAGTCGTCCCTCGTCGCGGTCTAGCCCTGCTGCCTCTGCAAGTCACACGCGCACGTCGCTCTTCCAAGGGTTACAGCGGCCTACGCCGTCACCGTCAACCGTTGCCGGGAACAGACGGCGGCCAGGCCTCAATCAAGAACGTCCTTGTCCATCTGACGGGTGGGCTTCACTGCGCCTTTGGCCATTCTCGGATATCCTGTTTCCCGCGTCGTAAAACATCAGAATCAGAAACCAGGAAAGAAATGGATTCCAAAGGTGATCTCATCGGCTGTAAAATACTGAGCAATCGTTGGCGGTCATGGCATCTTGTCTCTCTGTTCCCCTTGCCAGGCTGCTCCGCGCATCTGGCGGCATCGCATAGCTCTGCAGGGTGCATCGTAGGGCTTTCGGCTGCCCAACCTGTGAGGCTCAGGCGGGAGAGTCTTCCACGGCGCATTCAATTGGCCCTAAACCAACTTTCCCCAGAAAAAGAATTAACTTCAGTTGCTCGTTTATGCATGCCTGCATAGAAGTAATGTTCTTCTGTAATATGTTGTTGGGCCGGAACCGTTGACTGGCTGTAAGCTCCCCAAACTTCTCCCCACTCTTTGGGTGGTGCGGGAGGGAAAATTTATAATTTATTATTTAAATAACCTCCAACCTGCAGAAATCACCAGCCAAACAAACACCGTCGTCGCCTCTACCCACTACTGCAACGCTTTTCTCCAGTCACCCTCTGCTAATTCCCTTTTTCCACAGGGCTATTTGATCGTTTGCTCGTTTTCTTTCTCTCCCTCCGCGCCCTGACAATTCAATTTTGTGTTTCTAGTCACTTTGTCAATGGCAAAGGACAAGGAACGCTCCATCAACCCCGCCCAAGCCCAACGACGGCTGGAGAAGGCGAAGGCCCTCAAAAAAGGTAAAGCTGAGGTCCAAGCTCGCCGGAACGAAAAGCTCGCGCGTCGCAACCCGGACCGGATCCAGCGCCAAATCGACAATCTCAAAGCCATAGAGGAGTCGGGCCAACCACTGAGACCGTCCGAGAAACAACACCTTGAAGAACTCGAGAGGGATCTCCGCGCAGTCAAGAAGGCCAGAGAGGCGCTTGGTGAGAAGGCCCCGAAATTTGGTGGAAGCGAAGCTGGACCGGGGACTCATCCCCATTCTGATCGGGGAGGCCGTGGTGGTGGTGATCGCGGCGGGGTTCTGGGGAAGAGAAGGCGGGATGGCCAGGATAGCGGCCGGTGGCGGCAACGTTATAACGGTGATAGCGATGACAGCAGCGACACGGACGAGAGCGTTCGACGGATTCCCATGCCGAAAGACACTCCACCGCCCATCCCTCGCCAGTATCATGCACCCCGCCGCGCAACCAATGCAAATATGGAGCCCCTTGGTGAGGGTAGAGGTCGAGGGGAGACGCATGCTACTGTCCCTGCTTCTATCGCTTCTATACAACCTAAACCTGAGGCGAAAACGGTTTACGAAGCGGCGCCAGTCATCAGGGACCTACGGAAGGAAGCCGTGCGTAAGTTTGTCCCGACTGTCGTGCGGATGAAACAGGATGCCGTCAAGGGCCAACCCGGCAAATTATTAGAGCCTGAGGAGATGGATCAACTTGAGCGAGCAGGTTATTTACCGGGTGCTACGCAAGCTGGCCAACCTGGATCGTTTGTTGAAGCCAGAACTGCTGGAATTGGAACTGGCTATCCAGCAAAAGACGCTACACTCATTACAGACCCTGATGCTTCAAAGACAAGAACAGTGCAAATAGAGGACGTTGAGGATGAGGATATCTAACAAAAACTCTACCTTGACTGAACCTGTTCTTTTTACTCTTTCCCATATCCTTTGTATATCCTTAATCGGATTGCGGCGCCTGTCGATCTTGCACAAAATACCCAAGGGTTTCTGGCGCCGCATACAAGGGAATTTTCGGGTTTTGGTATCCACAAAAAACGGAGGCACATTTTAGTAGTCCCCATCAATCATCTATTTATTACAGAAATAGTGATTAAAAGCAAATACTGTCACAAAACGCCTGCCTACACACCCCAAAATAAACCCGAACCCGATCACCTTCAGCCACGATGATCCTATATTTACCCATAACATTATTTCAATCGAAATCACCGACATTTCCCTGGCGTCCCTATCCGTATTCCTCATCCTTCGTCCCTTATCCTGGCCAACCTGCCTCTCACTCCGCAAACCAACTTACCCCTCCCTAGTTACACATAATTCAGAGCTCAAATATATGCAAGGGGAAACGGGGTAACGGCATTTCTTCCTCACCCAGAAATGTACAGCGGAGCTCACATCATGGGCGATGGCGGTTGCGGTTGCGGCATAAGCAAGTTAGCAGTGATTGAGTGGGGACAGAACGGTCAAAGGTGGCCTAAGTGGGGACGATTGAGGGCAGGAGGAGACCCATTTGGAAAGATATGTGTTCAAGTGGATGCATGGGGTTTGGGTTATATGCAGGAAGCATTATCAGCGTACAGTGTTCTTTTACGAAGCAACAGCATTATGTTTTATTTGGAGCACTTTGGTTGGATGGGCGTTATTTGGCACTGCTCTGGGCGCTGTGGCCTTGAGAAAAATTGCATATACGCAATTTATATATACGGGATAGGTAGCATTTTCAGTTATGCGTGTACTGTATGTACTGTACATTACTATTAATACCTAACCACAAATTGTCATTCTTATAACCATCTACAAATCGCGTGAGTGAGATAGTTTCACCTCCCAGCCCGAGTCTCGTGCCCAACATCCACGACCCAGAATTTTCTCCGTGTTTGTGTGTTAGTTTAGGAGGGGTAGTACGGGAAGCGAACAGAGTCGTCAGATGAGATATTTGAGACCTTGCAACCTTGTTGGGTGTTCGTGAAGATACTGCAGCATGTACAGAACAACGTCAGGAAGTATGTGAGGTGAGTGCATTTTTCAGGGTCATTTTTTGCACAGTGCATCACCTGTACGTATTATCAAAATGGGTGAAAAGAACGAAAATTGAACCTAAAACAGATAAATGGAAATCTAACGACATAAAATCAGATAAAGCCTCCCACTGCTGCCTTGGACGGATTGATTCGTAGCCGTCGACAGAGTATAGACTATTTAACATTTAAAAATAAATTCCTCCAAATAGACCCCGTTAACGTTAAGGAGATGTAGAAGGGAGAAGACAAAGGTATTCCAACAAAGGAGAGGAGGAGGAAAAGTATCAGGAAGTCCGCGAGACAAAACAATGAGTGGGACGGGGATATATTAACAGGAATGGAAAGCAAGGCCTGGTACGATGGGACATGGGAAGCCAGCGCGCAACCGTCGGAGAAAGAAGATATGACGAGAAATGAACGGAAAAGAAAGGCAAAGAGAGTGCATAGATTTAAAGGATGGATATCACGACTCCCTGGCGAAAAACCTTGTACTTTCAAAAGATTTTGCACCTGAAAAGGAAAAATAGAAAGAAAACAAAAAGCAAAAAACAATGTAACAAACGGCCTCGCCATGCCAGTAACGCGCATAATATGGAATGAAATAATAGGAATAGGAGAGGAACGAAAAATAACAACAAGATTTATTTCCAACGGTCTTGGGTACAACAAGAGATGCCCATTCAAAGAACATGCAATGGCATCAGTTATGGGGGGTAAAGCCCGTTTCGAGGGCCTATCCTGTCCTATTATAAGTTGCTTCGCCTGACAATCGTGGTAAGCGACCTAACAGCAGTGGCTAATTGAGGCACATGCAACGCCGTGGAATGCAGCTCTCTGATCAACTCTTTGCGCCGTCTCGGGAGTATGAGGTAGAAGTGACAGAAAAAGGATATCCAACCGAGTAAGCGCCAGGAGCCTAAACACCGAACATACGGAAAAATATGACGAAGAATTCGAAAAGCCTCGACTGGACGGTGAGATGTGTCTTTCCAAAAATAACCGAACACACTGGTTGTGAGATAGGCAAAAATGGCCCAATGAGCCTGCACGGGACCTGACCCCGGATTTTCAACGACAAATGCTAATTGCGTCGATGTCCAAATACGTAAGCACGGGATTTCTATCTAAGGTTTCGAATGACCTTGGTTCCCCTGGCCAAAAATGGACTGGGCATCTCGTCTCGTTCCGGATCCCAGGTTGCTGGGGGCTCTCTTTCGACTGTTCTCATGCTGTCAACGACACGTGTATGGGGAGAAAGCCCCGTTGTCGGAATCCTGGACTCTCCAGGATTCCGCTCCGTGTCTTCGACTGGCCTGCCACCTGCCCTGGCTTGAGCAAGCTCGACAAGTGTCCGACCACCCATGTTCCGCTGCAGAACAGCTTTGAACATTTCCTCACCGCCTGCGTTTCCTTTGAAGGTGGGTGGTTTGGTCCCTGCCCTGCGGGGAGATCCTCCCTCTCCAGCGAGATTTGCGGAAGATGAGATCTTCATGAGGCGACGGGGTGATTTTACTTTTGCCTCCGAAGCTGCATTTCTAAGATCATTGTGTGATGCTGCAGCCGCGAGATGGGGCAGGCCTGAACCCCTGGAGGGAAATAGGCTAGGTTGCGTGCTTAATTTTTGCATCATGGCAGTTGTATTTTGCCGGAGCAAGGGTCTCACAGGGGCCTTTATAGGATCAGGCCTAACTCTGGGTCGTGTGGGAGAAGGCACATCGGGAATATCATCTTCGTCATCCGAGTTATATGCTAGGCTTGGATCCCATTTGGGATTGGACCTTGCGCCCTCGGCAAAAATATTTTTGGAGTAGCCATTTCCAGCAGTGCGGCGTGGGGAAAGGGATAAGGAAGCAATTGACATAGGAGATGGTTCGGCCATTTGGATATCATTGGGAGATTCAAAAGTGGTTTTCGAGCGGCTGAATGGTGTACGAGTGGCTTTCCTTAACGGTTTACTACTTTCAGGTGTTGGGGATTCAAGAGAGATTTCACTCAGATCAGTGGAGGAAGGGAAATCGTCGTCTGCAGTCCCGGTTCCAATAGATGACTGGCAAGAGTGCTCCGCTGACGAAGTAGTTTCGCCTTCATCAATGGTCGACGGTGATGCACTCTTTCTGCGTTTCTGCATCTCTGTAGCAATTCTTTCTTGGACTTCCGTATCAAATCGCTTCCGAAGCCTCTCGAGCTCCATGTGAACCTGCCGATCAATCTCGAGCCTTGCCTTCACTTCCCACTCGCGGCGAACCTTGCTCTCGATGTCAATTTTCATAGCTGCTTTCTCCTTCTCGAGACGTGCGTAGCTGAGTTCGAGCTCCTTCAACCGCTGCGACACGGCTTCCTCCCGCTTGCGCAATGAAATACCCAAGTCCACGACTTCTTTCTCCTTCCGCATGAGGCGAATAACTGGCATGTTCAGCAATGAAGCAGTGTCAGGCCGGTTGTCTGGGTTAACTCTTAGGCAACTCGCAATCACACTTTTGAGCTCAGAAGAATACATGTTTGGTAAAGGAGCATATTTTCCCTCGCGAATTTTTTGGATAAGTTGGATATGAGTCCGGGCGTTGAAAGGAGGCTCTTTCTGGCACAGTTCATACATGATGCAGCCGACCGCCCAGATATCAGAGTAGAGCGTATACTTTTCCGCGGCACAGATCTCTGGAGACATGTAAAAGGGAGTTCCAACGTAGGTTGAAGCGAAATCGTGAGATCCCATCTGCTTCGATAGCCCAAAATCACCCAACTTGACAGACTGATCCTCCCCGAGGAAAACTGACACGATTGATGGTCAGCCCAATCCAAGAAATAGAGTTTTATTGCACGTACTATTTTCCGGTTTTAGATCACGATGTAGAATCATCATTTGGGCCTGTTTTCCTTTCAATCCCGAAGGCTTATTATTGGGTGGTGGCCCCAGAACATTGGATCCTGCTTCTGGTGGGTCCACGCCGTAGTGACACCTATACAACGCAGTAACGAGCTGAGAAAGTATCCGCCAAACAAACTCCTCTTCTGCATATTTACCCGTCGCCTTCAAGTTCTTGATCACCATTCCAAGATCTCCACCACCACAGTACTCCATGTAGAGATAAAGATCCTGGGAAGCTTTCAGGTGCTCTCTGTGGTAGTATGCGACGATGTTGGGGTGTCGAAGAGAACTGAGGATATTGAACTCCGTCGTGAGCTGTTCGCGCTCCTTTTGCGACATTTTGACATAGTTGATTTCTTTGCGACAAAGGATCTGGAATCATCTGTTAGCTACTTTAATTGAAAGGGATACTGCGGCTTCCGTACATAGCCATCAGACTTGCGTCTAACTTTGCGAATGACCCCAAATGAACCACATCCTATCAGGCATTAGCAATATACTATTGGAGGTTTCCGAGAGAGAAAATGGCGCTTTTACCTATCCGTTCCAACACATCATACTTGTCAACTTCAGCCAGTGCAATAGCCATGGTTCGCTAGGAATAGCGAAGAGCTTGTAATAAAGAAAAAAGGAAGCAATAAAAGTCAATACATGAACAAACTCGTAGACCCCAATGAGCTGCAACGTTAGTATATTCCGCACAACGACGAGCGGTGATGTTTGCAGAAGGAAGTGAAAAATTCAGTGATCAATATCAAATCACACAGCTTGGCCTCCCCGTTTTGGCTGCGTTGCTAAGCAACCAGTGCCGGAGTACATAATTAGCCGTTCCAGGAAAGCGGTGTACATACTGCCAAAAAAAACCACACTGACAATTACATACAAAATGCGAAAAGGTCGACATACATAATAATACTTAAAGATCGAGCTCAATTACATTATAACTATATCCTTAAGGACAAAGTTTATTTTATTATGGTATTTACTGTTTGAATATCGTCAAGTCCATTTAGCCCAGACAGTCGTTACAAACCGGCTTATTTAAGTTTTGTGGGGAAATCACAAGATTTGAGATTGATAAGATAACGTTTTAAGTGGTACTGTACAAGTGACAACCCGCCTTGGCATTGCTGACTAAATAGTTTTTTTCTCCAGCCTCAACCCTCGAACTCACAGTCCCTTACTCCGTATAGTCTTGTGTGATGCGCTGCACTCGATATTAGCGCTTTTGACCGCTTCAGATATGCCAGAAATACTACACTGCGCAAACACGAGCTATAAACCACTCTACATGATCAAAGATGGGAGGCTCAAGGAGGACAACCCCCTTGACCTAAGCCAGTCCTTTACGGAACTTTGCGAAGCATGTCGAAGAGGTGACATGAAAACCTGTCAAGAGAAGATTACAGAGGGCGTTAATATTAATGCGAGAGATTTGTTTGATTGCACGCCGCTGATCCTTGTAAGTAGTGGTTTTTCTTCATGATTTCCGCTGCACCACCAGTTGCTTTATTATCTTCGGTTTTAATTCCGATGATTGATATGCGACATGGCTTTCCCTAAGCGGTCGTGATGATTTTTGGGATTGACTGTATGTAAATAGGCTAGCCTTTGCGGTCACTATGAAGTGGTACGGCTTCTCCTTGAATCCGGTGCATTGTGTGAGCGTGATACTTTTCAGGGCGAAAGGTGCTTCCTCATCTCAATTCCATTGGCCAATCTGTTGGGATTTCCTGGTAATCCTTATTGCTATTATTAGATGTCTATACAATGCGCTGAACGATAGAATACGAAATTTACTCCTTCAATATGATTATTCGAAATCCACGGATCCCTTACAGCCGTTTGCCGCTCATCTGGCCACGTTGTTATCACAAGATCGCCCTTCAACTTCAGATATTGTAGTCACAGCATTGGATAAACCATTTCACTTACATAAATTTGTATTATCTGCGCGCTCGCCGTCCTTTGCAAAGAAGCTATTAAGTGCCCCTGCGGCCAAATCGTGGGAACTTCCACCTACAATCCCCCCAGAAGCGTTTGACATAGGTGTAAGGTATCTGTACCTGGATGAAGCGCCACCGTAGTTGAGATCTGGACCGGGAACTGGTTTCACCGAAGCAGAAATTTTGGGTAGCGTTGAAAGAGTTGCCAAACATCTGGAACTTATTGGTCTCGTCGAGTCCATTCTCGACAGGGGAGATAGAAGGCTGGTCAGACAGCGACGAGCAGAGGCAACTTCAAAGGGACGTGACCAGATGGAATCGTGGTTTCGAGAAAATGTTCTCAAGTGTAAACTTGTCATTGAAACTGACAAGGTCAATAAGTTGAAAGTGAAAAGGGACAACAGGATATTTGCTGATATATTACTTCGTGCAGATGAACCTGTGGTCGAGGAGCTGCGACAGACCGAAAACATGCAAAAACTAGATGACCATGACTCCGCAACCGACGACCAAATTCCAGTGGGCCCAACACCACGGCTGCCGTCGCCTGCCGCGTCACTGCCGCCACAAAAGCCTCGCAAGTCATCTATTTTCCCCGCCCATAAAGCGATGCTTCTCCGCTCCGATTTCTTCAGTGTGATGTTTTCTTCCACTTTTAGGGAAGCCCAAGTAACGGAGAACTTACAAATAATACGCATCGACTGTTCTCCTGAGGCGTTGGAAGTCGTCCTCATCTATTTATACACAGACAGAGTCGAATTCCCATTATCGTTAGCTGTTGAAGTTCTTTATGCGGCAGATATGCTTTGTATTGAAAGGCTGAAGTCCAAAGCAGCGGTGTTGATTAGCTCCCTTGGAAATGGCAACATGAAACCGAAACAGGCACAGAACGAGGACGAAAAAGCTACCAAACAGGCAGATGCCGCTCAAAAAGGAAATCAGCAGGATGTAGATGATGAAGACGTAGATATTTACGAACTCATTCGAGCAGGATGGACGTTCCGCGTTCAGCGCCTGGAGGAATTCGCCGCTCGATATCTTGCTTACCGCCTTGAGTCGCACATCGATTTGCCGGAGTTTGCGAAACTGGTTGCCGAGTCAGCAGCCCGTATCAAAGAGCGGCAGGAAACTGATTCCATCGAACTCGTAGACGATATTCGATTCTATCTCAGCGAGAGATTCAGGTTGCGGTTCGAAGATGCTGGTCTGGACCAGATCATGGACGAAACCCGCAAGGTGGCAGAGGGCGATGGCGCTGAGGATGGCAACGTAGTCGAAGCGAATAACCCTTCTAACAATGATGGTGAAACTGATACTCCCCATCCAGGACCGGGAGCTTCGAAAATGCGAGAAGGTGAAGCCATCAATGCCAGCGATCGCAAACTTCAACCAGGAACTGGTTTGGCTTCTGACGATCTGAGCCATCCCTTCAGAACTCTGGACGGTCATGTTGCAGGAGACGAGTTCGCAAGGGACGCTGCGGACTATCAGATTTTACTGGATAAACTGGATCGTCTCTTGGAGAAGCTTGGTTTGGAGGCATAGGTCGGTCGGCTTTGGGGCATTTATTAGCGGCATTATACATAAATTAGACAGGGTCATCATTTTTGTCCTTTTCAGTTACAAAGCTGGAGAGATGTCACTGTTCGTTGAAGCAATTCGTGTTGAATATACTCCGTACTTAGACGGTTAATTACTAGTTAAATATGCTATTACCAATGAAATTCTACACTAGCTTAAGAAGCCTTTTTTTTTTTGTCCAAGTTTTTGTGCAGTACAATTGAAACTTAATCTTCTGTAATATCTATCTTCTAAGCACCTGCTGCTATACTGATAATCGAGATGCCTACACGTATGACTGCAGCGAGAAGATCCTCTGAGACGTCACATAAGGTTTTATGCGAGGATCGGTAAAGGTTGACAGGCTTGACGATCAGCTTAATCAATGAGGAAGCTGACTACGGAGTAGATAGAATCTAATGAGTACATGGACGATCGATGGCAGAACAACAAATGTAGTGCGTGCTGGGCGCGGTAAGGCCCTTTAACAACAACTTGATAGAAAAAAGTCACACGCTATCGTAGCTAGCAGCTGCTATAGGAGCCCGTACTCAAATATAGAGGTATAGGTAGTATATACACCCGGGCTCTTATTTTACCCTCTCTAGTTCTCTTCCACGTACGAAGCTTGTTTTCGCTCTTCTGTCGCTGATCCTCAATTTGGCTCGAATACTAGTCTACGTGGACATGCATCGCATGTTGCATGCTTGTGTGTGCAGTGCCGACGTCATTAGCTCGCCTCCTGCGAGCAAGCAGCAGGTGATCCATCTCATTTCCCTACGGAGGCTGCCAACGTTCAGTCGACTGGAAACTTGAGAGAGCGGGTTTTGAAAGACGGCGCTGGCATAACTACTTGTCGACAGTTTATTCCAAAGACAATGGAAATGAGATGTTAAAAATTGTGACTCAGAATAGGTAGGAAATAATTCGCGTGTCTAAAATTGGATGAATATATACATAACAAAAATACATAATAGAAGTGGAAAATGAACAAAGGGAAGAGAGATGTTTCTGTTGGAAAAATAAGAAGATAGATAAACACAGCGGAGAAGGGTGAAAGATAATAATAATAATAATACATTTGATGCGTGAAAATGGGCATGACAGAATTTGTTTTCCATAACTTAGCCCAGAAGAGTAACCACATGAGATAGCGTATGCCTCTTCCGCTTTCTATTTCTCCTTTATCGGGGCTCCATGTATCTATGCAAATCCCCAGATCCACTTTTGTTTCTCCCTCTCTTTGTATTTTGCTTCTTTCGTTTCAGTGCAACAACTCTCTCTTCTAGCAAGCATCAAGACGTTAATTGTCCCGGGGATTTCCGTCCTTTGTCGGTTTAGACGTTGGACGGAACGTGCTAGTAGTGAAATTGAGCTCGTACAATTTATATTCTTTTGGAGATATTTGGATCCTGTGCAAGACAAGTGCCATCTATGTGTCGACGCCGAGTATATAGATCGTTGTTGATTCTCACAACAGCAGCTGGGCTATATCATTGTGAGATCCAGAGGGTTCTGCATCATTTCGTCGAAAGTTTGGCTCCTTGGTCCTCTCGCCCTTACCCCCGGTTATGGAGGGTCTCGAAGGCTGGAGGGTTGGGTTCGGACAGCTAGAGCCTGTCTGGATTCTAATTTCGCGGAAGGAGGTTTCATTTTCACATTATTGGGAACAGAATTTCCGGATCGGGTTTCAAATTCAAGACCAAAGATAAAAAAAACAGTAGAGAAATAGATAATTCTAAAGATAATTGGTATCTTGCCGTTCCAGGAACAATAATGGGACTGCTGGTCCTCCCAGGATCATATCCAATATTCGAGCTCGTCATGTTGAGTTGTAAGCCAGAGAGCGAACTTGTTAGTGTTCTTCAGGCTCCCTTAATTCACCAAAGCTGCTTGCGTAGGTCTGCCTGTATGACAACCCCGTTCATGTCGCTTCATGTTACTCCTGACACTAAATGACTTGCCACAGTTGACATGCGGGCATTTGAATGGCTTTTCGCCGGTATGGCTGTGCGAGTGAATCCGTAGACTAGAAGGCCGAGAAAACGCCTTGTGACATATTCGACAGATATACCTGTCATGATTTTGTGGGTAGGGAGCCGTATTTGACGGTGGAAAATAGTGGTGGTGTTGCCAGGTTGAGATCATAGAATGGTGATGGTGCTGTTGCGCTGGCGGGGCTGCCAGAGGAATAGATGGCGAGAAAGAAGGGGGATGTGATGGGCTGTGATAATATTCCGTAGAATTCGCTAGGGGTTCAACTGGGGAAGCGAATGGAGTCGAGCTGGTGGGTAAATTGGAGGATGGAGCGTAATGCTTTTCGGGAAGGGAGACAGTAGAATTTTGAGATACGGACGATCTGGTTGACTGCGGGGGTAACGGACCTTGGGGCATCCGATGCTGGTAGGAAGGGTCCGCCGATGACGAACTTGTGAGATTGGCTACTGAAATGGGAGAGTGTGCAGACGATGGCGACGATCCGGAAGGAGAGTGATTTCTTCCATCTAATCCGGAGCCTGGGCGCATGGGAGGGGTCGGTGGTAAAATCATTCTCGGCCTGTGTATGGGCTTTTGGCTGGCTCCTTGGCCCTGTGATTTCAAATCAACTTCTCCAGTTGAGAGTGGATTGGGACGATGTTTTTCTGATCATGGAATTTAGTAGGTATATCAAGATGAATACTGCAGCGGAATTCGTACTAGCTACATGAACAGGAGAGAGTTGGTCAGCTCCTTGCAATAAACTCGATATTGAAGGAAGAGAGAATCTGGACTGCTCTTCGACAGGTGGGGATAAGGGTGGTTGAGGAGAGCGGGCATATGCAAGATTTGAAGCATTGCGATCGTAGTATCCGTTCGATACAGATAATGAAGATTCGCTCTGCAAGGACTGGCGCTTTTGCGAAGTGCCTGAGTGTGGATACGTCGAAGGAGGGCTATGATAGCTGGTCACCAAGTGGGATAAATTCATTTTTGTGCCCAAGACGTCGGTGACAAACGTTGACCAAAGTTGTCGATAAGTTGTTGTTATTATGGATATATCGTATATCAAATCCGGTATTGTATGTGTAGTGGCGGACGGGTGGTCAAAGGGTAGGAGAAGAAGTGTGAGTTGAACAGGGTCAGAAATCCAGGACAAGGGCTCCGAGCAGGTTGATATGGGATCCCTAGTCAGGCTTGTGCAGGCCGCGACGGGTGGATTATGAGGAAAGTTTTTAGCCTGACATGGGTCGACGAACGCTAGGTCCAAAGATCTTCCAGAACCCAGCGGGGGGGAAAGGGGCGGTCGAAAGACTAGTGGGGATGATGCTTTTTCTGCTCCCCTCTGGCGGCCTCGGCAGTAGCAGGGGAAGAAGGCGTGGTGAAATGATAATGGCTCGGAACTATGTAAGCTGTTGTAACGCAGAGCATCGACCCCAAACTTTGTGTGGGAATGAGATAACTATTTGTATCCACCCACCTCCACTGCGTACCATCGGACTTCAGCAGGGCATGATCCGGTATTATTATCCAATCAATAACAGGAAACTAAATCGAGGCCGCCATTTTATTTGAAGATTCCTCAACAATGGAACGGGCGTCAACACATACATGGCTTGTAATGTGTAAAATAGTGAACGCTGGTTATAAAAAACAAAAAGGAAAAGAAAAAGAAAACAAACAAACAAACAAGATGACAGTACTCCGTATCGTGCTTCTTGTCCGATCCTCCACCCAGCAACAAAGCGGTTAGATTTTGGGTGAAGCGGTGATAGCAAACAGGGGGCCACTGCTGCCTGGAGGAGGTATGGACAGGAAATCGGAAATCCATTGTTGCTGTTGAGACAAATCCCCATCGAACCAGCGGTATGCCAGCCGTTGTTCGGTGACCATGACGCCCCCTGGTTTCGCGATGCGTGCACAGGACGATGTACGGTTCGGTTCCGACCTCAGAAGCTTTTAGCTACCTCGTGGCTGTTTCCGTCACTGGTGCAGCTGGCTCTCCACATGACTCGTGGGGCTTGGAGCGCCTGTTGCTACTGGCCGAATCCATGCATCGAGGACCATGGTCGATCTCCGCCAGTAGCCAACAACGGGAGAAAACAAAACAAGCGAGGGCTGCTTCCCAGCAATTCAGAGAAGCAGCAGGCTAACGATGCATTGGCCGAACTCTGTTCTCGGGCCCATTTTTATCTAGGTGAATTGAGTGGCTCGGTTAGCGAGTGGCCCCAACGGGATGACAGCGTATAAGAAGTGAAAAAGAAAAAAACGAAAAACCAAACAAATGGAAAAAAGGAGAAACAGTATTCTCACCAGCCGTGGCGATCCGTCTCTCCCCTCAAGCTACTCCTTAGCGCAGATCAGGAGACCAACATGGACGGGACGCCGACGGCGATGCTCGATTTTCCTGGGAACCGCTAGCTGAGTGGATTTGCTCGCAGCAGTTTACGAACCCATGAGCATACCATTGGACACATCTTGCCATAGAAGTGAGGATACCCAAACCGAACGGGCTCGGAGTGAAGCATAAATAATAATTGACAATGTAAGTTTTTTTTTTCCTCTTTGCGTTATGCAGCAGCATTGGCCCACCATCGCCTCAGCCTATAAACCCGTCAGCGCCGAAACACACTCTAGACGATTGGCGTTCTCCGGGGAGAGCTTGGGGAGTTCTTACGGGAAGATAAGACATGCTCAATCGATGGTACTATGAAATGGTGGCTGCTGTTGCGATTCGGGGGGAAATACATCGTAGTGGCTGGTCTGATTATTTTGCGGCTGCTGGAGATCATCCCTGTAATTCACTCCTGGCGTCAATAATAATAATACACGGCCAATCTTTGCACATCGAATCTGGCCCCAAGCGAGCAGCAGGAGTACGCGGTGGTGGGATTTGCGAAACACGCACCAGCGGCCCCCCCCCCCCCTCTCTCTTTTTTTTTTTTTTTTTTTTTGAAAATACCCACCACGGACTGAGGGAGGTAGGGATGCAACAGGGCCGTCAAAGGATAGTATCCTGATCGGGTTGTTTCTTAAGGCGCGAAGGATGAGACAGAGTTGTTCTCGATGACATAGTCAAACCTTGAAATACTCGTTGGTTTTCGAAGTTTACAAATTTCCCTGTTGGGTAACCGACTGAACGTGAAATTAGTTTTTGTGTGAAAAAACAAAGCCACAGAAAAAAAGGCATTATGTTTACGCCCTATACCACAAATCAAGGTCCAATCCGCTCGTGTCCTGATCCATTTACTTTATCAATCTCAATGTCTGATTTTCTTTTCTTTTCAGCGTTGAATGTAATAGGTTTGTTTGAAAACCGGGGGTTGAGGATACCTTCGTGACCTCTCATACCCTGCTGTTCACAAGCGGAATTACGCTGAATTTCCCCAAACCAGGGGTAACTAGGGGTTGGCGAAATTATGATTAAAACAATCAATGACCTGCTTCGCCTGGCCCACTTCTGATCCCTGCGTACGATCCTCCTTGTTTGCTGACTTGTCTGAGGTCGAAGGGAGCTGATTGTCCTAATTGAAAGAATGAGCACACAGGGGAGCCAATATCCTCACGCATCTCCCGAGAAATCATTTCCGTGGCTCGATTCGATCGAACAGGCCATACAGATCACTCTAGATTCAGTCGGCTATTATCCAGTCAAAAACGTGCCTCCTTGGACAAAGTGCCCACAGTCGACAGCGGTGCCACTTTTTGCCCACGGTCATTCTTGGCAGAGAGGAGGCGGTCCAACAATCTGTGGGCTGCAGGAATCCTTAGACACTGCAGCTCCAAAAATAATACAGGAATAGCCTTTGTTCGATGAACTCCGCAACAGCCAATAGTGGGCTGGCTGAGCGCCCATGCCGCCATACGGGTTGAATTATTGTTCCACTGGAGGGCCGCAAGCATGCATCCGAACATCCTCGAGGCCTGATGCACCGATATCACATCACCATGCTTTTGCTACCATGAGCAACTGACGCACAAGGGAAGTGGCACGTTTCTCTGGAGTTTTCCCCGGTCGAATCACCCTTCAGCAGCTCATCGAAGGCGTTTTTGAATTACACCTTGGCATAGTTAATGCTCTGCAGTCAATGTCATGCTTCATAGTCAGGGTTTCGAACGGCAAAGGGATCGTCGTTAGGCCAGACACTAGCTTTCGTTGTTCACTGTACGGAATTGGCGCACGATAATACACGGGCAAGCGGACTTCTCTTCCCGCCGGCACGGCAGAGAAAAGGAAAGCGGTGTCGAGAGATAAGAAACGGTTCACTGCTGCCAGCGTTTCGGATTTTCATCTTGCGCACGGTCGTTCGAACAAATAAGCTCGATCTTTGCTGGTGGCTTCCTCACCAAATTATTACGGTGCTTAGGCCTGTTGCTAACGAACCTTGCTGACAAATTTCATGCTTCGATTCTTATGTGCAGAAAGTGAAATTTATGCAAACGCTCTGTTGTATCTGGACGACGATCCTCCGGACAACAATAATGGCGCTGCTCGTGTTTTGCCATCCTGTTCCTCCCCCACCCCGTTCAGGCTAATCTAGTAAATGGGTTTCTACTATTGGTTGTTCAGGGCTGGATTTTTAGCAGACCTTGTCCGTTTTCCAGAACAAATCATTCCAACGCTTTTCCCGCCAGGTTCTGCCATTTTGTAGTCAGAGTGAGGAACAACCGGCTGGAGGAGACCGACATTGAAATGCTCCACTCTGCAAATAAAACTTCACAAGTGCTTTGTCCTGTTTCAGATGCTTTGGTTGGGATTAGTTTGCCGATACTTCTCCAAGATTATGATTATTGATCGGGCTCTTCGACGATCCATCATCCCAAGTAAATGTGAAGGTGATTGACATATATTATTTTTATTTCCCACTTGGGCAATCGAAAACAGATCAGCGAGGTAAGGAGATCTGCCGGGTTTGTCTGCCTTGAGCAGTTGTCGTCCAAGAGGACAAAGAAATACAGCCCGTGCACCAACCATCCAATATTTCGTGAAACCAATATCCAGATTGTCGCCGGAAACTACAGCACCAACTTCCTCGATGACCATGTGGCAACCTCATTTACTCCCAAAAGCATACGCCACGAATTCTCGTGTAACCAAGCGCTTTTCATAGCATTCTGAGCTTCTCCTCGCCTGCAGGCAAACATAATTTATCTCCAATACAGCCGCAGTATGCAGATATGCAGATTGGCGGCACTATCAGCAGGCGACAGGCCAATGACAAGAGATCTATCAGATCTCCCTAACCTTCCTGCCCTTGAAGACTTAAAAATGTGTCGAACATCATTCTCCCTTTTACTGGATGATTGCTAGATCCCGTACGATCACCAACAGGGGATCATATGGGTTGAGAAGAATGTTGGCTTCTTTACTTCTCAAGGCGGGCTGAGGTGATATGATTCTGCGCTAGCTCTATCCGCAATTATGATCGCCGCGGCATTCAAGGGATCCCGCAAGAAAGGAGGATGGTGACATGGGGCCATGAAGCTTAACTCCATCTCTGACAATGATTGATGATTGATGAGGTTGGGAAGGATGCTAGGAAATTAATTTTTTTTCCCCTCTTAGGCGAGATTTACGCCAATAATAATCCATATCGGAACTTTACGCAGTTCCTTGATATCAAAGTCTAACCGTCGTCTCAGCCAATAGACAATAGACCAGCATTCACTCCATATCATGATATTTAAAAGCTACGAGAAGACAGGCTCCCAGGACCCGTGGCTTTCAGCCCATCTATCTAAGGGCTAACTCAGCCTCTGCAAGGGTTAAAAATATAATAATAATGCAACATCCCCAACGCTCTTCGATCACCGAAATCCCGCAAAACATGAATTATGTGGTTGACGCACTCAACAGCCACATGGGCGGTTCAGACATAATTTTGCCGGCAGGATAGGGGGATTGAGGCGTTTGTTCACTTTTCCCAGAGAAACGCCAACCTGATCGATGATGGCCTCATTTCCCAGCAGGAACTTCCCACAAAACTCAAAAAACGAATGTATTTTACACGGGCCTACACTGTATGTTTGTTCACGCTGGGCTTTGTTACACCAGAGACGCAGTACATGCATGCATGGGAACCCATGTGTTGGCGAAGCTTTTGTTTCTTCACGCTATGCTAAGTAGGGAAGATTCTACGAAGATGAATAATATTGATCTTGATAACGAGTTACAGCAGAGATTGCACGATGGACATGACTTCCGGGGTATGGGTATCTTTCAGAGCTTGTCCCGTGCATGATTCTCAAGTTCTCTTCTTTTCATGATGTCAGGAAAATTTACTCCCACAACTGGGCGGATAATAACTCCTCGAAAGAAACTTGAGTACAACTTTATCAAGGAGAAACTTTTTTTCTTCTTTTCTTTTCGGTAGCCAGTAACAAGCCGGAGAACCATGTTAGGGATTTGCTGCTGGGTGTCTTGGTTGCTTGTTATGGAGAAAATCACTGCCTGAACCTGTGTTCGCTTTTCTCCACCTTCAACAATTTGCTTGGTCCTAACTAACTAATATTGTGATTATTATCTAACTCTGCGGGTGACTGATTTTAGAAACGGGGTCCAATCTCGGCACCAGCATGATTGCGGGAACTTCCATCACATTTCTGATACAGGTTGGGGGGCTTTTGAGGGGTGGAATTTCTCCGATAAGTGAGGCCAATGAGAAAGCTTGTTCCAGTTCCCGTATTTGACTCCCGCCTTTCTTATCTGCGTCAGGATAGCCTGGTTTTAATCATCAGAACGTCTTTCTCGTGTTCTCTAACTAATAATTTCAATATGACAGTGCTGGTGCTGGTGCTGGCGCTGTGGGTGGGGGTGGTGATGGTGATGGTGATGATGGTGGTCGTTGTCGGGATGAATTGTAGTTGCCAATGCATGAACATGAGGCATGACTACTTGAGCATGCAAGAGCGGATGGCTTCCGATTGAATCCCCGTTTGACATGGCAGATGCGGAGAATTGCAAACTGATAATGCATCGGGAATATGGTGGGAGATATGGTGTTCACGCAAAACCTCAAATCCGTCCCCCATTTTCCAAGACAATTCTTGCCAGACCGGCGGGATTGAGATCATAGCCCGAGATCAGCATCCTGGAATCAAGCTAAGGGGAGGTAATTTTAGCTAAAATGCAGTGGCTGAAGGTCATTGCTTA